CACAGTTTCGCAGGGAATACTGCAACCAGATTGCGAATATAAAACACAGGCAATGGAGAATGGAAACATGGGAAATTGAGAATGTAGGTAGAGAAAGTCGGGTGAGCGAAAGTAGAGAATAGAATACATCACGCAGTGATTAGAAATTATGGGGTATCCAAGAAAGAAATCCAACGCTCACAAGGCCGAGAGGAGGAAACAACACCCCCTTCCGTAACTGGAGCAGTTGCCAAGACCCGCTCGAAACGTATAACGAAATGGTTGGGGGAAAAATAGAACAAGGGCAAAAAGAAAGGAAAGGAAAGGAAAGAGTGAAAGGCAAAAGCAAGTCTGAAGCGACTGCTTTGAGTAATACAGCTGAAGGTAAAGACAGAATCCAAGCAACATGTCGCTGTGGAGTCTGAGAAAATTATTCGGAACAGTGAGTGAAGAAGGGAAGATAAAAATGAAGTCAAGTAAGAGAATGTAGAAGTGAAAAGGGATATATGAAAGCCGGAGACAGTTGAAACGACCATGCGAATTAAACGACTAGGAAGTAGTAGCTGCTGAGTGACATCTTCAATGCACCGTGCCCAAGAGGCAAACTGCAAATACCGTCTAGGCTTCGGCGGCAGCAGACTTTTTGCGGTGGAAAAGACTGCGTGTCCGAGATTTGCTACGCTGCTTCTTGTCAGGTGTCCCACCGTGACGACCGCGGCCACGCGATCCAATATTGGGATCATCATCAGAGAGGTACTTGTCTTTGTGGATCCTGTTACAATAGAGGGTGAGTCACTAGAATGAGGCATTATCGGGAAACAAATCCGCCACTTACCAGCTGTTTCCAACCATGTTCACGCCCTTTGCTTCGGCCTGGCGGTAGAATTTGGCTGCCTTTTTCAGATCTTTCTTGCAACCAATGCCTTCGGAATAACAAAAGCCTGCCTCCACAAGCGCATCCGTATCTCCCCATTGACCGGCCACCTCAAAGCAACGCAGGGCTAACGATTTATCCTGCTCAATGCCCCATCCATTTAGATGGCTCACGCCAAGCTCGTAGATACTGAGGGCAAATTGGGCGCGGTATGCTTTCTGCAATTCCCTCACCCGGCTTGGCATGGTCGGGTTAGAATCATCCATCAACTCTAGTCCGACAGAGTCCACGGCTTTGCGCAACCACCGAACGCCCTCCTGCTGATTGGGCCGCATACCCCAACCATGTCGACAAGCCAAAGCATATAAGAGCATGCCGGTCGGATGATCCTGTTTCGCTGCAACACGGAGATGGTAGGTGGATTCTTGCAATGATCCTTTCTCATGGCACTCAATCCCTTTAGTGACATGCTCGTCTGCTGTGATGACGGCGGAAGATGCATTGGTCTTGGCTGTCTGTGGCCGGACAGTCGATGCAGAGTCTGCAGAGGAAGTGGCATCCGTTGTTTCCTCATTAATAGGCGCCTCTGGGGTAGGCGCGCTTGTGGGGATAGGTGAGCTTGAAAGAGCATTTTCACCTGAGACCGGTTGATCCGTCGACGCAGCTTCGGAGAGACGGCGAGCCTCGGGGGAGGCCGGCACCTGCGGGGCAGATGGGGGCATCTCCGGCGTGAGCAATTGTCGCCCTGATGCTGGGGAGTCATACATGGAGCGTGCTTTCTTGGAAGATACCGAATGACGGGAGGGCGGAGGTGACGGAGTTCGCGAAGACCGTGGAGGCCCAGTTGCGCTCAGCTGATCCGGGCTCTCGAAGAGCGGCTCCTGCCACTCAAAGTGAGGAGTGTGCAGGCCGGAGAAAACAACGGAATCCCTGGAAACCTGGCGTCCGCGGGGAAGTGGGTACTTGGCATAAGTGTACGACAAAGCAGATGATGGTTCCTCGCGCATGGATTTAGCCATATCACCCACTGAGGGTACCATAATGGGCTGAGGTTTCGGACCCCGAGGCTTTGTCCCCTGTGACTGCTCAGAAGTCCCTGTCGGCACGGGGGCTGACAGACTGGTACTGGACCGACTGAGAGGGCGCGAGAAATTGTATGAAGGGCGCGGAGGATGACCGCCATTGTTGGAAGTCTCCGAGTTCAGAGAGGGCGAGCGTCGGTGAGACCGGTTCATAGAAGTCATGGGTGACTGTGGCATTGACGTGGCGCTACAGGAGGATAATTTCCTCGGCTTCGAAAAGGTCGAGCCCGCAGTCGAACTGCTGTAGTCATCATCGGAGCTCTCGGGTTGCAAGGTCCTATTACTGCTCGAAGGCCTTGATCGTGGCGAGACCGGTGGCGCCAGACCCCGTGGAATATTGAGTCGAGAGGAGGCAGCATCCGTCAACGAATTTCCAGGCGATCCTGTCTGAGCCATACCAGAGGGTGCGGCGGCATAAAAGCGAGCAGGCGCTTCTGGTACAACGCCCCTGGCTGTATCTTCTTGGGACGACCCCGCTTGCGTAGCTTCAAGATAGTCCTCCTCCGAGCTTACCACTGACGGTTCATTCTCTAGGGCCCTGTTCGTATCATCATGAGGACCATCTTCGTTGGCAAATTGCGGCACGCCGCTCAGACGAGGGTGTTCGGACTGGGGACGGAACTTGGGCTCCTCCAGCTCAGCACTGGCCTTCAGCGTTGGCTGCCTGGTGAGATCGTTTCCTCGCCCACTCCGTGAAGAATCGTTTGAGGATGGAGAGCGAAAGTAGCCCGGTCGAGGTTGCGATAAGGACCGTGCGACACTGGCCGGAGGGAGTCTACTCATGCGCCGGTCTCTGCGAGCTGACTCCTCTAGTTGTTTCGCCAAAAGCCGGCCCTGAGCCGCGAATGCATCAAGGGGCGAGAGCGTGGGAGGGATTTCACCGTCAAAGTGTTCAATGCGCGGCGAAGGCAGACCGCTCCGCAGAGTATCATGGGAGGGCGAGCGAAGTTCGCCAAAACGTGGTCGGGCGTCCATAGTAGCACAAAGGTGGTTTCAATTGGCTGAATGTGTGTATTTTTGGAGATTGAGAGGAGCACAGACGTAGGCTAGGTGGCCTTCAATCAAATCATCTAGTTGTTTGCTACCGCTATAAACCTTGGACGGGTTGAGCTTGGACTTCTTTTACGAATCGAAGTAGTTTGAGATAGTAGTCTGCAACTGGTTAAGTTCAATGCGCGGCGCGGGGAGATCCTTCAAGCCGACTAGACGAAGGAGAGAGTCCTTTAATGACTAGCACCGTATCAGACTCAAAGAAAGGAATGACAGGCGCCGTGAGAGGAAAAGGGAAACGAGAATTGAAAAGAATAGGTCCAATAAGCCAACCAGGCTTATGGGGGGGGGAGCAACGAGAATCGAATCAATCAATCACGGCGGCAAAGGAGCGACAAATAGTTTGGAATGAATATGGGGACGAACGGAGAGAAAGGGTAATGATAACCGATTAGATCGTAGTCGAAACAATCACAAGCCAAAGGGAGGAACGATGAACAAGCATCGTGGACTCCGATGGACGGGGTGGGAGAGGAGAAGAGAGAGAAAGAGAGGATCGGATGGATAACGAGAATGGACTGACTTGGACTTGAACTTCCAGATTATTGGTTTGAACCAACGCAACTGCAAAATAAGCCAAAGGGAGTTTTCCTTTGTTACGCCCTGACGATCACCAAACAAACGAGGGGCGCCTGCATTGACAGTCAACTCTGGGCAGTCCCCACGCGGAGTACCAAGTCTGACGGAGGTATCTTGTCGTATCAACGTCTCCTCCGTAAGGTCAGTACCGGCCTGTGACACCGGTGATCACGGTGCAGGAGTGGATTCCTGCAGCCAAGCCGTAGCCAGGCACCACCATTCCTCAAGCCATACGAAACAAGCGGATTTCAAGGAGAAAACGCGTACATCATTACCGTCATACCATACCAACATATGATACATACCAACGGTACCGAGTCAGGGGTTCAGATGAACTGCTTCCAGAAATTATATCAAAGTTAACTACTCCGTACATACTGTTTATTGAAAGACTAAACAACATCCTTTTCAATCTCCGATTCTTCTAAATTGATCAGATGCAGACCATAGCCCTACCATAACCTTAGCTCCTACTACAAACAGAGTCCTTGATGTACGTGTCATAAAATTAGAGGCGAACGTCCCATCCAGAGCTTCTAGAAAAATTAATCCACAGGCCAGAGGCGAAGGGCTTTAGTTTGGTTCACAATGTGTCGTTGGTGGAGCAGCCACTCTATTTATATTCACTTGCAAATTTTCCCGAAAGTGTATCCATGGACAAATGCGACAGACTCGGTAAGAGAGCAACATTTTTCGGGTTTCTTTTACTCTACCTCATTTTATTTATTTTTTTTATTACTCTTTTCCTTTCTAGCTTTATCCTAAAGACTAAACCGTTTGTTTATTGCCTGGGGAATCTTAACCCACCTTGACCACACAATGAAATTTTCAGGACTGCTAAATACCATTATGGTTGTGATCTGACTTGTTATGATGCTCTTCCCCTCTACAAAAGATTAAGATAATCTGGAGATGAACTTAGAATAGCAGCAGTATGACAACATGCAGTAAGGAGTTGAATCTTACTTGCTGCGCATACCGTCCATCTGGGCATAATGGGGCCGTGCCTTGTTTCTCAGGCGTCCCCTTGTCTCATGATCCGATCACCCCTAACCTCTCCATTCAACGGGAACCCTTGAGAAAGTGGAATCGACCACCAAGAATCACATAGAAAGTTTCAAGATCATGGTGAAAAAATGATGGTCGCAATTTCGACCCTCCCCTCCAAGTAGTTATATGGAGGGTAATACTCCTCCCCAATCCCCTCCTCTCTTACTGCCGGAAAAATTACTCGATTGATCTGATGGCCCGAAAATAAGTGCACCATTGCGTATACAGGGAACGGTTGCACGTACGATGGTCTTACACTCTAGGTGCATGAACACCCACGCAGGACGCTGTGATTGGTGTGGTGGAGTGGATTTAGTTTATTAGTGTTATTAATATTACCAAGTATCCCGTCAGGAACCACAGGAATCCATAAATTGTTCTGACTTCTGCACCACCGCAGTAAAACATTGACTCGGTCTGGTTTCAATTGAGGGCTAAATGCTTACTACTCCGTACGTACGGAGTACATCAGGCTGCCCTGATTAGCTCTGTGCATGCGACCTTCATTGCCTCATAGGGATGGTGATGGACATACATATCTTGGCATTCTTAAGATGCTAAGATATAACAGACACCTAGTGCTGGGCGATGACACCACTCCTTTCCCCGCTCAAAGTTCACTATTGTTTGGGACTTAATCTATCCATCTGCACTTCATATGGAGATGGCATGCATGTCCTTTGGATGTAGTAAAATCCTCCGAAAATCTCTTCAAGCTACTAACGGAATCCGTCCGTCGTCGGGTCACTTTTGATCCTTTAATTGACTAACCCATGATCCTAACCGTTGCATTATAAGCGAACTAACCCTACTAACGTCCATGGTTATGGAGAATATAGACGTGCGCCCCAAGGTAACATCGAAACTAACTCCCGGTCAAGACAAGGTCGAAAGCCAAGCGGCCGCACCAAAATTCCTTCACGGGCTGATCCCTGACGGGGCTGATTTGCAGTGTACATTTTATATCGTGGCTGAGATCCTATCGCTCACTTTTAGGCCACCCAAAACAAAAAGCAATCGATTTTGTTTTCATAATATCCACAGCAGACCACGAGGGACGAAAACACGCAGATGGAGAAAACCACCACAAAAATGCGCAAACTTCCCCCCTTCGCCAGCCTTATGGGCGCAGACCCATCCCTGGACAGTCAACACTGCTTTGAGACGTCCTGGCTCCTCCCACCACTAGCCTACGCCATTTTCCGCGGTGCGATCGCGCTCTACATCTTCGTGACCATCTTCTTCATCTGGGGCTGGGACGGCACTCATGGCAACCGTGCAGCTATCGGCCAATCCTTCAGCTACTTCACCTGGCTGACATACTGGGGTCTGGGCTTCTACCACATTTTCGCATGCATCCACACCACCCTCTATGCGCTGACCGGTCGCTCGGTGCTCTTCGATCGCTGGCCCCGTAGCCTGCGCGCCCTCCACAGTCTCTACTATACGACCATCACGACGTTCCCATTCCTCGTGACGATTGTTTTCTGGGCGATTCTGCATCCGTCTTGGTTCAACGTGACTTTTAATGCATGGTCGAATGTAGGTATTTATCTTGCCGCATCGGGGTTCGCTGAGACTGTCGTATCTCTTTATCAGAATGCGACGGTGCTACGCAAGCGTAATTAACTAACTGAACACAATAGCTCTCCCAACACGGCCTCAACTCCCTCTACGCCCTTCTGGAAATCATCCTCCCGGCTACTAACCCGCACCCGCTGATGACGTTCCCGTTCCTCGTGTTTCTGCTCCTCCTATACGTCTCTCTTGCCTATCTGACGTATCATACTCAGGGATTCTACACGTATTCCTTCTTGGATCCTGGTGAGCATGGGGAGAAGAGTGGCAAGGTCACTGCTTATTGTTTTATCATTCTCGCGGCGATTGTGGTTATCTTTGGTATTACTTGGGGTGTTATTTGGTTGAGGAGGAAGTTGACGGGGGGTAAGGTGAAGCGGTCGAAGTTTGATCATGAGAGGCCGATTGAGATGCGGGAGGCTGAAGTCTAGGACAAATGGTTGATGATTCGTAAAGGTGGGGTAATCTGTTCTAATTCCTAATGTTTAGTCCATAGGTATATTATGGTATTTGCTAGGGACGGAGTTGACGCATGATGTATACATATGCGAAGATTACTCGGTCAGATAAGTTAAAAGACATACAGGGAAGAATAAAAGAAGAATGAGAGATGGGGTTTCAAACGCCAAGAGGGAAGAGAGTCAACCGTAGCCAAAACAATCATAATCTGATATTAAACCTTTTCCCAGCTCGTCTCACTGTTGCTTCCACTGGGACTGTGGCTGGGTGTGATAGGGCCACTTCTTAGGCCCAGCATCCATCCTACCAAAAAGTTCGGGGCCCAATCGCCGACGATACTATAGGACCATGCGCCGCGTCCAGCGTAGATGACGGGCGTTTTCGACTTCTTTCTTCCAAAGATATCCTTGGATGCTGGCTCCAGGGCGTCCAGCACCGCGTAATGAAGGGTCCGAGCAGCGGATCCACGTATCATGCTGGGTCCCGCCGATGCAACGGGCCGCTGCTCAATGGTGGAAAGATACTGAGAGCCGTAGAGGGATCGCTGCTGTGTGGTCCATGTGAGCACCTCGGTTCCTGTAATGTGACTCTGTGCGTTTCGGTAATGAGGACCAAGGTCGATGTTTCCAAGTTTCAGCTCCACAACATCGATGTTGCTATGTTGCAAAAGACATAACTCTCGTCGAAGCGAGGTAGCGAATCCTGATAAGGCACGTGCTGTGGTGACTTCTGGGCTAGTAAACGGAGCAGACAGCGACGACGATATCGAAGGGTAGATTAGGACAATGGTGCTATTCGTGTTTCGGGTGGTAAGAAGAGGAAGAAACAGTTGAGTAGTCAAGATGGGCGATAAGAGTCGAGTATTGACTGTATCCGCCCAAGAAGATGCTGGAATGGTGGCTAGGGGGCCGGTCACATAGTTGGGTGAAGGTACGAGAATGAGTCCGCTCAGCTGGCAAGTGTGCGGCGGCACTCCAGGCATTGGCCATTGGGGCTGAGTGATCAAAGAATGGATTTCAGTCAACGATGGATGAATGTCAGATGTCGAGGAAGGGGCCTTTATTAGTCAGTGAATTTTCTCCGATCCTGCGATATGCGACGACTTACAGCCGTTAAATCAAGCCAAAGCGGCCTGATATCCATCCGATTTTCCGACTGAACCAACTGCTCCTCATCCGCCGATGAAACAGTAATATATACGATGTAGCCCCGACGTTCCAGATCTATAGCAATCGCCTTCGTCATCGGTTCGTGAGGGGACCCGGCAACAACTATCGCAAAACATTAGATGGACTCGTCATAGATGCAGAATGGCTATAGTTATCCCTGCAGCATACCCACTATTTCCTTCCGAGCGCCATTTCCAGCTCGTCGAGCTTTCCTCCGTCTACCGCTTAACTTCTTGTTGCCAAAATACAGAAGGGAAGTAGTTCCGACAAAGGCTAGGATTGCGGCACTCCATGCTCGATTCCGAAGAACCCAGCCATGCACGCGATCAACGAGAGACTGGGAAGCACGAGCTCTCGAAGGTGGTGGCGGTCGGACCGAGGAAGGCAACCATGACTGGTGAGAGAGCGTATCCCGTATCACTTTGGCGGCATGGTCAACCTGCCTGTCGATCGAGTCTGCGACTTCGAGGGAGTATCTCCTTACGTCATGTGGTATCGAAGCAAGCTAGAGGTGCAGCGGCTTGTTAGTGTGCGACAGTTGTACAAGTGTTGACAGATTACTGGCTTACATAGTCAAAGAAAAACTGGTCGTCGCTCGTCATTTTGAGAGTTGGCTGTGAAAATGGTAGTTCAGGCCAATTTTGACTGATGAAAAAGAATCTACTGTCACTGATAAGTTTCACTTATCGGAAAGGTCACATGAACGGGAATATATCGCCCCATACTGCAGATCGGTGGCTGACCTAGTAACAGTTAGAAGTATACCCGGTACGTAAACTATCTTGCTAGAGTAAATATCGGAAATAGCTGACACCACTAAAACATTCATTCATTGCTCCATACGTTCTACGTTTCTCATAGCTATACATTCTTTAGTACAGCTGTTTCACAAGCGCGGGACATCCATCGATGGCTAGATTATACTAGTTTAACTCTAGTACCTGTGCCTCATTGCCGAGTCTTGGGATGGCTACTCCCTAACTATGATTATGAACTTGTACAAGTTCTGCTCACATAATCTCGCACTAACCCTGCACTGTCACTTGCTCTATTTGCCCCTCTCGCCGTATAGAACCATGGCCCCAGGTTGAAATAGTTCAATCACGTGATACTGGTGCCTGAATCTTCTGTTGATTATCAATTCTTTACCAGTGCAACTCAGGTTCATGACGCGGCTTTGTTCTTTCACCTCCGACCTCCATGGAAGTCTCATTCAGAGGGCCTCGAAAATTGTGACTGCGCCATTGTTCGGCTTGCAGCAGCGTGCAACTTGTTAGCTTGTATAGCAGTATTGCGCTCCGGGCTCCACCGAACAATTATAAATATCGGGGGCAGCAATAGTCTCTGCAGCACCCTTCGTTCATTTTTTGCAAGATTAAATCGGTATTAACATATTATCCGTCCAGTTCTTTATTATTAGCCTTCAACATGCGCGAAATAGACCCTCTAGTCTTTGAATATCAACATGACAGGCACAGACCCAGAGAATCTGAGGCCTTAACAATGCTCAAAAAGATCGCATCGCTGGTCAAACCTATCATGCGCCGGAGGGCCTGGAAAGTAGGAACGCTCAGTGAATTCTATCCTCATCAACAAAACCTCCTTGGGCTTAATATCAACAAAGGCCAAAAAATATGCCTTCGACTGCGGTACCCTTATGACGAGCGTCAGTTTCTCCCGCTCGAACAAGTCGTCGATACGATGCTGCATGAGTGAGTCAACTGAATTTGTGCTGCTAACTAGATGCTAATCATGGCAGGCTGTGTCACATCGTGCATGGGCCGCATAACCGAGAGTTCCATGCTCTCTGGAACCAGCTACGTGATGAGTATGAAGAGCTTCTTATGAAGGGCTATACTGGGGAGGGGTTCCTTTCCGAAGGTAAACGCCTAGGCGGCCGTAGGATACCTCTTCACGAAGTCCGGAGACAAGCCAAAGCGGCCGCAGAGCAGAGACGGGCACTGTCCGCTGGGTCGGGGCAACGACTAGGAGGTGCTCCTGTACTACGGGGAGCAGACATGCGCCGAGTTATTGCGGATGCTGCACAAAGACGCATAGATGTAACGACGGGCTGCGCTTCAGGAGCAGAGAACAGCAACGAACTCGCAGAAGAAGCGTCCAGGAATGGCTTCCGGACGAAGGCCGAGGAGGACGACGCGAATGAACAAGCAATTATGCAGGCTTACATTGATTTGATTGAGGAAGAAGAGAGGGAAAGATACGGCCCTTCTTATGTTCCTCCAAGCCATGAGAATCCGGCCGGTCCTCATTCAACTTTATCTCCTCCACCTGTTCCCGAGAACACTAGACCTACAATGTTACCACAACCTCAAGAACCAATAGACCTTACAGTTGATAACAGCTTGTTCGAGGCGCCATGGACATGTCCAACTTGCACTTTAGAGAACCCGGCCAACTTTTTGTGCTGTGATGCCTGTACAGCAGAGCGACCTCGACCATCGAATACACGTTCTGTATCTGGGCCTGCCAAGATCCCGGGCAGTTCGGAATCCCAGAACAAGAATAAGCGTCGGATAAGCTACTTGGATAGCCAACCCACTTTCAAGAACCGTACTAATGCCGTCGAGACTCTTGCCGCATTTGAAAAGAATACCGCTAAGCGACCGCTCGGGTGGATCTGTCAATTCTGTGAGACTTTTATGGAGACGGAATGGTGGACGTGCTCGAACTGCGGGACAATGAAGGCTAGCTCCTAAGTTAAACGTATGGACTGCCCTCACATACCGCTCCTCTGATGATTTCACGAAAGATGATGGTGTATGACTTCTTTACTGGGTTCTAGAATCCTCAAACACTTTTCTAATAGTATGGCTCAATTATTGAACTTATTGGATCAAGAAAATCATATAAATTGTTGGACCTTCGATGGTTGCAACATTTAAAGTCCTCCACCTCATCGATATAGATCTGATGACTAAGACGTGACTAACCCCCACCATCGGCCCATCTATTTGCCGACAAGCTATACCCACCAACCAAATTTTCCTTTTTCTCTCCGTCTTCCAGAGCTCTCTCTCTCTCTTTTTACAATAACTAATGATGTTCACAACCACATAATGAAAGGCTCTCAACACCAAACAACACGCATTTACTAACAGCACAGGTATGCTATACTTTTTATTATATCTCATAATAAACCCATATACCCAAATAGTTGTGTCTCCTGATCAGCCATCCATGTTTTAACGAAATGGTGGAGGGGGGAAAAAAAAAAAGCAACAGTTCAATCCACAACCCAACAAACTCCTATATGATGAAGATTTTTCTCAAGAACCGGTATTTTTAGGAAGAGCCGGAAGAGGTATGACAGGATACCCAATGGGATCCTCGTCGTCGATGCTTATAATGGTTCTTCTGAGTGGAGTTAAACTTGTTGGTTTGTGGATGGACTGGAGCTGCTTCTGTCTCGTTCCAGTGTTTTATATCTTTCAAATCAGGGCATTGGGAACGGTGTGCTGATGTTGTTCTGGTATAGGGTTCGTCGCTTTTCCTTTAGATTATAGGTTCTGGTGTTTGGGCTATGTGTGGGGATTGTCCAACTTGTTCAGTGGTTGTACATATGTAGTGCAATTAAGCTTGCTTTATAAATGCAGAAAAGTCTATATTTATCATGATATACATACATAAACATGAGATTTAGGAAACGACCTGACAAAAGTATTCCACATCAACTCCCAAGGATATAAAACTTTTTCGCAGCCATAACAACGCCAGTCATGCATAGAGACAGATACGTGACAGGAATCAGGCGATACTGACAAATTGTCGCTTCTTACCCGTTGCTGTCGTCTGCTGTTCTTCCCACTGTTCCTCATCGACGTAGTCCTTGGTGCCCTGTTCCTTCACCTGATTGCCGATGTACTGCAGAGCGGAGAGGTTGAACCCCATCTCGTCTTTCTGGCGTGCCAGAACCCGGCGGAGGGAAGACCGGATGCTATCCAGCATGGGACGCATCATCTTGCTAGCGATAATTTGGCGATGGTGGGTCTTGAGCATGAAAAAGAGAACGCGGCAGGTGAGAGAGATATTCCACTCGCGGTCGGCCCAGATATTCAAGAAGGTGAAGAGCGCAGGGACCTTGGAGAAAGGCAAAACAAGTAGTGCATCCTGAAGTGCGGCGGCAGGGATCTTCTGAACGACATTGAGAAGATGCTGTTCGGCGGAAATGTTGCCCAGTGCCAGGTACAGTGGATTGCGGTCCGGGGGCGCAATGTTGGGCTGGACTGCTTTCATAGCACGCCACTCGCGCACGACTTCCAGATCCTCCATTCCCAAATCCAGGGCTTCCATGATCCGTTCTCCCGCCATGAGTGTCTCACTCGTCTGTTTACCAGCGTCAACGGCTTCGGCCTTCTCGCCTTCCTCATCTTCCTCATCCACAAGGTTGTTGTCGTACATTTCTTCGAGCTCCTTTTCCCGCTCTTCCTCGAGGAAGAGAGGCTCATCAGTCTGATCCCAGATACGGATACTCTTGTCGTGACTGGCGCTGACAATGAACTCCCCAGTATGACTGATAGTCAATGCCCAGATCTCGCCATGATGGCCTGATAGTTTCTGAATATGCTCGAACTTATCACCATCCCAGTACTTGATCACGCGATCCTTACTAGCACTGAAAAAGTTATGACCGTTTCCATCCCGGTTGTGCGGGACGAAAGCAACGCCCATGATACTGTCTTCATGTGCCAGGAAGGCCTTATGACAATCACCAAAGTCTAAGCCCCAGAGACGGACTGTCTTGTCCGCTGAGCATGTAACAATCAGCTTGCTATCGTATGAGATATCCATGTTGAGAACAGGAAGTTTGTGACCATAGAGGTTGAGGAAGAGCTTCAGGGAGTCTGTAAAGAACACCTTGACCGTATTATCCAAGAGAGCAACTGCCAGTAGCCGAGCGTCGGGGGAGAAACGCAGGTTGAGGATGTCATCGGAGACCTTCAGGGTCCTTGTGTGCACCAACTTGAGCCGGGGCGTGGTCCTCTTGGTACCCGGGATCTCTTCCTGGACAACCTGGAAGTTCCAGAACTTTGCAGACTTGTCCGCACTGCCGCTAACTACGGACTTGCCATCAGGGTGAACATGGAGTGACCATACCGGGCCGTCGTGTGCATTGATCGTATCCAGGAGGGTCGAGGATGCAATGTCAAAGACCTCGAGCTGACCGTCTTTGTTACCAACAACCACGATCTTGTCTCCAGGGAGGAAAGCCGAGCACAAGGCATAGCCGCATTCTAGGGTACGGAGGCAGCTCTGTGTGCGGACGTTCCAAATTTTGAGACTCCCATTAGAGGCTGATGCCAGCATCCGATCGTCGGAGCTCAGAGCGAGGGACCGAATATCAGTGCGATGACCGGGGATATCGACTGCCAGGTTACGATTGTAATCTTCGTCGTCCTCGTCCTTCTTTCCCTTCGCAGTGTTGACAGTGTAGGCTTCAATCTGGTTATTAGTGGTTGCAGCGACCAACTGGAGGCTGCGAGTCGACTTAGTTCTTATCCAATCGAAAGACCGTACTTTTCCGCCAGTTCGAACGATGGTGTAAGAAACGAAGACCTCAGTGACCGGTGCTGAGGAAATGTCGTCGGATTTCTCATTATCAGCTTCTGCCACGACGCCCTCCTTCTCAGCTGCACGCTGGGCTTCCTTTTCCTTTCTCCTCTTGCGCTTCCTCGCCAAAGCCTTCTGGACCTCCGTCTCTGAGCGGATGCGCCAGATCTCGACTGCCTTTTCTGAGCCGTGAATTCCGATATAATCCGCCTGGGGATGGAAGCTGATGCCGATGGTGCGGTCCTTTCCATTACGGTAAAAGGTGCCCCTTTCCGTCAAAATCCTGCGGTCCTCCGATCCAACTTTCTCTTTGGAGATTTCAATTAGAGCGCTTTCATCGATCGACCAGACCTTGAGTTCGCCGTCATTTCCCGCGGTGATACAACCACTCTGGTCGGGAGAAAGACCCAAACTCCAGCACTCGCCGTTGGATTGTGCCACATGGGTTTCAATGCAGTGTTGTGACGAAAGATCCCAGACCTTAATCAGCGAGTCTTTGCCAGTTGTTAATAGAAACCCGGCGTGCTCACTCAGTCCAGCAGCATTGAGCAACTCCATGGATGGAACGAGAAAATGAAGTGACGTGACCTGATCGGTATGACCACGTAGCTTAAATAATCCGACTTCTCCAATAAGATCCCAGAGAATAATATCTGTATCCTTCGAACCACTTGCGAGGCGGACACCGGCGCTATCGAAGGCGAGGTGGGTAATGGCAGATTTGTGGCCATTGAACGAGATCATTACTGTCGCGGTCCTTGAATCCCAGAGGCGAATGGTGCCATCTTCATAACTAATGGCAAGAAATAACTTCAGTCAGAACAATAGCCCACACTATTCGCTCAAAACCAGAAACATACCCGACCGCGAAAATATCCTCATCCATCTTGCTTTGGGTGACCACAGAAACTTGCGCCTTGCACGAAGAATCTTGCCATTTCCCAAGTAATTCACCCTTCTTTATATCCCAACAGAGAACCTCCTCACCGGCACCCACAATGGCTCGTCCGGAGCCCGTCTGGCGGGCAGCGCCAGCGAACTCATCATCGCGGGCCCAAATCGCATTTGACGTAGCGGAGGCTACGAGCCCGAAAGTTTTCGAATGCTCGAACTTTCTGTATTTACAAGTGTCAGTAATGGATCGGAGTAATATATAGGACATTTAGACGAGTACACTTACAGGTATGACTTCACCATCGTTGAATGTCCGAGTACAGAAAAAATTTGGGAGCTTCCAGAGCGATTGCTATCGATAGGCTCAAAAACGGCCGGAGAAAACTACGGGCGGCGACAAAGACCACCAGCCGCATTCCCCACCGCCTACCGTTCCCCCCCCCAAACATCCAACGTAACTACTCCCCGAAGTACCAGCTCGAGGCAGAGACATTCGATTCAATCATTGCATTACCACGGTGAAATAAACAACTGAAGGAGTCAGACAAAATTTAGATATTCCGCTACGGTTTATGGTCCTGCCACCATGCTTCTTCTTGACTACCACAACGTTCTCATCCATGCCCTCCTCACGGAGCGGTTCTCAGGGTACAGCTGCCCCCGCCTCGCCCCGTATACGCAATGCAAGCGTTACTGACTACTGCTTGCTGGTGCCTTTAGAGCCCCGCCAGTTTCAATCGACCAGATTGCCTCAGATTTCGACGGAGTTACCTTCCATCTGTCCACACCCGAATCTAAGACTAAGATCCTTATCTCCATCAACGTGAAATGCTTCCGAGAGCTCGTCCAATATGGTGCCCAACAGGTGCTGGAGAGGGAATACGGCCCATACATCGTCGCCCCCGAACCCGGCTATGATTTCTCGGTCCTTATTGATTTGGAGAACCTCCCCGCGGAACAGGAGGCCAGAGATGACCTCATAATGCGACTTGCGCTGATGAAGCGGAATGCAATGGCTGCTCCATTCGAGAGAGCTTTCGATGATTTCGCCAAGCTATCGGAAGAAGCTTCAAAATACAGCACAGAGGCGGCCCCTCAGGGTGTTAAGGAGGGCGGGGAAGTTATGGCAATCCACTATCGGGAAGAGGAAGCTATCTACATCAAAGCCAGCCATGACCGAGTTACAGTGATCTTCAGCACAGTCTTCCGTGAAGAGACAGATCGTATCTTCGGCAAGGTATTCCTCCAAGAGTTTGTCGACGCCAGACGCCGCGCCTTGACTCTGCAAAATGCCCCTCAAGTCCTTTTCCGAAACGACCCCCCGCTTGAATTGGCCGGTGTCCCTGGCCTGAAGGATAGCGGCGAGGGCCAGACCAGCTACGTCACTTTCGGTAATACACCCGGTTTCTGCCCAACTGTCGCAAGTACTGACGGTATACAGTTCTCTTCCCCCGTCACTTGACCCCTCAGCGCCGCTACGAAAACATCTCCCATATTCAAATCTTCCGGGACTACTTCCATTACCACATTAAGGCCTCCAAGGTACCTTCCCATGCTATCGGTACAAATGTCGGACTATTTACTTACTTTCGCAGGCATACATCCACACCCGTATGCGCAAGAGGACAGCCGACTTTCTCCAGGGTAAGTGGGGACTAATACCGTTGCTGAGTTGCGGGATACTAACCGATAATAGTCCTCAACAGAGCTCGGCCAGAGAACGAGGAGCGGGAAAGGAAGACGGCCAGTGGCCGGACATTCCGGGTCCAGAGTTAGGCGTATTGTATATTTTGTTTCTAGGCAGAGGAGCTGGAGGTGCAACAGCAAGCCGCAATGTGATTTATCCAGAATGTATAGACTGCAGCAAAACACTTTTTACTATTACCCTTCACTTACATATATAACATTCCGTTAGCCTGTAAGATATCCGCGGGTACAATTAACCAAAACGCAGATAACAGCTGAAGACATCCAACGATATCTTCACGTGTGTGCATAAAATTGCCGCCCCAACGCTTACTTCTGAAGCATCCACAACGCAGTACATTCCCTACTTTCAGTGCTTTATACACAAACTTGGCATTCATATACACCCTGCAAGATATAGGCGTACACTTACTACCTATGACATGCCGGAACCTCCTCCTTCGTGCCAGGAACACCCAATCTACAAAAGCAAGATGACTTGATCTGAATATCGGTAACAGATAAAGCGACATCGAGCTGCTGCTTGATAATCCTCGCCTCAGCCTTCCGCCCCAACCTCACCAAACACTCATGATACCCATGCAAAGCCCAGACATTATTCGGATGCTGATGAGCCCGCGTAAGCGCATCATCCAGTCCCAAATCCTGCGCATAAGCGGCAGCAGCCTCTTCCACATGACCTTGCTCCAGCATCAAAGCCGCATACGCATGGCGCGTGGGAAGCATCCACCCCCACGGCTCTGTATACATCAGCGAATCGTCGTGATGAATAGCCTCGCGCAGAGACTCAAACGCACGGTCATAGTTGCCTCGTCTGTACTCGATTTCGCCGTCCAGCATAGCCGTCGCTACTTTCAGTACATCGGAAATCAGGTTCGGGAAATCTTTTCTTGTTGGAGGAACTCGTTTCGCGGTCGCATGGTAGAGCTCGCGCTCCTTGTCGGCTTCAGGAACATTGCCTGTTGCAGCCCAGGCTATGCCCTTGCCGTAGTGGGTCATTGTGGTGGTTACACAGTATAGGTCTTGGTCGTGGGGGAGGGGGAGGTTCTTGATCTCATCCCAGAGTCCGAAGCGGATGTAGACGTGTATGCGGACTGCTTTGAAGAATTCCAGCCAGTCTGCTAGTGGCGGGGTCTTGACACGGAGCACGTCATCTGTGAGTGAGGATTCCATTTGGTCGAGGGTCCTGAGAGCCACTTTTGACTGGCCTGCTAGCATGGCCGCGTAGACTAGGGAGTGGTAGTTGTGCAGGCGATAGAAGCTGTAGAAGTTCTTTGCACCATTCTTGGCAAGATATTTCTCGTCAGCGAGGACGGCAGCCGTGTTTGAGTCTATGGAGCGTCGGTAGTCGCCGACCAGGACGTCGAGGTGTGTGGGCATGTGGTGCATATGGCCGGCGTCCGGGACGAGATGACGAAGCCGGTCAGCAGCGGGAAGGGCGACAGCCGGTGTGGCAGACATCTCTAGATAATGGATCCAGAAATGGATGAGGCCTGGGTGGTTGTCCGCGCTGGGGTGTTGTAGACCCAGGTCGAACACGGCTCTTACTTCGTGGACGGGTGAACCTGCAATGGGTAGACCACTTTGGACATGGAACATCTTCCGAAGGGCTGTGTGCATCAATGCGTCGGCGTAGAGGGTGACTACGTCAAGGTCATCGTCTCCGAAGCATTGGTAGACTTTCTTCATGGCATTGGCGTAGGCCTTATCCACGATGGGGAAATCGTAGGAGGCCGGATGGTCGGCTGGAAAGCGAGCTTGGATTGCATTGATGAGAGCCTGTTCTATTGGGGTCACAGTTATGTTGTCCAGCAGCTCCTTGGCCTTTCGGGAGGCATTGTAGCATTTTCTCAGGCTGTCTTCGAGGTCGTGGGGGTCGAAAAGTCGCCAGGATTTGTTGTAGTTGGGACCTGTGGCGTAGGCTAATCCCCAAAATGCCATAGCACAGGATGGATCATGGGCAATAGCTTGCTCGAAACAGCGCTTGGCCTCTTCATGGTTGAAAGAATAGCTCCAGATCAGGCCTCGGTTGAACCATTCCTGAGCTTCAGGGCTCTTGGTGGTGATTGTACGTTTCAAGGATCCTAGATCGTAGTACTCGGCGGTTGAGGCGATGGGTTCAACAGCGGGCTGTTCAGTTGACATCGTTCTCGGTAATGATAGTAGGTTAGGCTGAGGGTATTCTGTTTGTCAAAGATAGAGGAGAAATTATGTAGCTTATGTATCCAACGTCGAGAGTTATTCAGGTCTATTTTCGCCCGTGCGTTCTGACATATATATATATATATTATTTCTAGGCGACAGGTGCGGTACAGTCCCTCAGTTAAGTGCCCCTAATATTATGTCCGAGATACGGCTACACTACGGAAATAGGGTAAGAGCCACTAATATGATCACTATTGACGTATCGTGAATCTGAACTATAGACTGCACGCTGTCGTTCAAAGGCCGATGTGATGATGGTGGGTCCGCTCGGCGTCTGAAGAGAACCAGACAATAGTACTAGTCAGCGATAAAGATATGCAAAGACCCTATTCGCTATCTAGAATTGCCTTCGGATTACGAATTTGTCTGAATGATGATAGGAGAGTATTCCGGCATGATGGCAATGGTGGCTCATGTTCATGGCAAGATTGCTCTTGAAAACCATCTTATCTTGCAAGGGCATTTCTTCTTTTCCCACCGATGAGGATACTTTCACATTGACCAAGCTCGAACACGGCTCCCGTAGTACTACTTAGACGCAGGCAGAAACAGAGATCATGTACACGCTGAGAGCTGCCAAAAGCGTGGTGGCGTAGGCCAGTCCCAATCGACTGTAGAACATCTGACTCGTAAGTAACGGCAAGTTTACCTTAAATATATATCCTATAAATCCATCAACTCTCATTGTGCTATTGACTACGCTCGTGTAGCAGTCGACAATGTAGTTGAACTTTCGGATGAAGAGTAGACGTGCGTCCTACTCCCAATCAGGAGGCTTGCGTACACGGGGTTGGTCATGGAAGGACTGTGTTGAATGGAACCGTAAAAACGGGTGATATGGAGATCGGAGACACTTTCGTCCCATGATACTTGGGCCCTGCTTCGACGACTTCCCCTGCGACATCAGAGCTAATAAATGTAACAGTGACGGAGAACATAATCTCTCTGAATCCTTATTTCTGACCCTGGGACTACACCAGCTCTGGTTCCCAAACATACTTCCCCTATCGACATGGTGTCAGTTGTATATATCTTGATTTTGCGGCATGAAGCTTGATTAGAATTTCATATTCTTCCGGGACAGGAATGGCAACATCGTGACGGTGCTGAGTCTCAACCCTTCCAGACCCATTAATGGGAGATAACAAAAGTTTGATCAAGTGCAAGTAAATACGAATATAATATAATTGGTATTATAAGTTGAACAAGTCTGCCGAGTCATGAGTACGGTTGTCTGGTAAGACGACCAAAAAAAGGTCGTGCCCGGGTTCGAACCGGGGTTATTGGAAATTAATTTGATATCAAAATCCAAAGTGATAACCACTACACTACACAACC